GACTGAAGAACGTGCATGGTTTTAGTGTAAATTCTTGAGATAGGAAATATTTTGGGATTGAATACCAAACATAAGGATTGTAGACCTTTCTGAATTAAATTTCAATGTAATTATTGGCCTTAGATTTTGAATCTAACGATCAGAAATTTATGCAATAGGATCGATTAACGATTAAAGTCAGAAAGCGTCAAGTGAGACAAATGACGCATCGTTAGCGAAACTTTGGTAAGTACAATAGTTTTTCTATGGCTATATCACGAAAAAGCTTACTTTTCTATGTTGCACAAAAATTGTGCATATGGTAGAATTTTGAATGTTAGATACAATGTGAATGTTAAATACAATGTTATGCATGTATCTACAAGACTTAAGTAGCCGTAGAACTTTAGTCTGTGAAAAATATGTATCGATGTTAAGTCAATGTCAAGTTAAGAGGAAAAGTTAAACTTTAACAAAAAGTCAATCTCATGATAAATTGCTCAAAAATGTACAACTTCATAAGATTTAACTAAAGTTACCGTTTCAATGAGAAAATTGATAAACGATAAGAGACCAAACATCCTATTTGTACCAGCCTTCGAAGGAAAGGTTATTATGAAACTATGAAAGAAATGAAACCGTGACTGAGTTAGATTGGTTAGCTACCCCACTCCTCACTGGTTGTGCGCGCTATGGTACAATAGGACAGGGCCCATAAGAAGTAAAAGACAAGAAAATGAAAAACAGAAACCATTCCATATAAAGGTACGATATCTGTAAAGAAGAATGAAAAGAATGAGAAACACATAATGAAAGTCGTTCAGAATGTGAAAAAAACAATGTGAACGACTAAAATGAGACGAAAGCAGAACAAAGTATGTAATGAAAGAAGAAGAACATAAGTCATATATATTTTAGTAGTACAGAATGTATTAGGATATATGACATGAATGCATATATAGGTATGCATAATTATTGCATCTGTTAGACCTATTGATACTTGCTGAGCGAAAGCTCATAGGAAGCTCGGGTAAAGCACCGGCTCCTTAAAACTTGTTGCTGGGCATGCAAAGAGGACGTAGCAGCGAAGTGTAGGCAAGTGAGTTGTGGATGTATCACGTGTTTTAGAAACACTGTTAAACTTTATGTGTATAAAGTAAATAATATTTTATGAATATTGATGAACTATGTAAAGAAAGTTGAGGTTACGAGACAGTGAGGCTATACATAGCAACCTCTAGTCATAAGGTATGACTAATGTAACAGAATGATGTCAGAATGCTACAGCATTTTAAGATTAGATGAAAACAGAATGCTAGCTAAATGCTACAGCATTTTACGAATGGGTGAAAATAGAATGCTAGCTAAATGCTACAGCATTTTATGAATAGTTGAAAACATAATGCTAGCTAAATGCTACAGCATTTAGATGTACATGGTAAAAAAAAATTAGCTTGAATTTTTAAGAGGGTATAACTAGTAAGTAGTAGAGGTTAAGTATGAACATAAGATGATGATCAAAAGTTAGGGTCGTCACAGTTTGTAGAAATTCCAGCCACCTTTTGGAGAGAAAAAGTGAGAGGAGAAGGAAGAATTCATCAGAAATTTAAGGAGGATTCATTCGCGTGAAGATTTCTTCCAAGATTCTCACATTTTTTTTATTCTCTTCTTCTTTCCTCTGAACTCCATATGTTTTTTATTTATTTTTCTTCGTGTTATTTTATCATTAGGTTAGGCTAATTTTCTTTTTGGTTGAGGGTGATGTCTGATGAGAACATAGCCATCAAAGTCAATCCGGAAGAAAGACAATCAACCTTAAACGTCCATCAAGCCAATTGCATGGCCAACTTGCATATTCCAAGAGGCTTAGGCGCAATTTCCAGCAAGGGACCAAGTCAAATTGCGGATAAATAGTTGATTTTATCATAAATTCCATCATAGGCGTTTTTAAGGAAGGAATTAGATTCAAATTCAGATTTCTTCCCTATGATAAGTTTTTAGGTGTTTTTTTTAGGAAGGAGTTGGAGTCAAATTCGGATTCCTTCCCTAGGATAAGCTTTAGGCTTGCGTTTATCTTGTTTTTAGGTTTATCTTATTTTAGGCTTCAATCTCATTAAAGATAGAATATGACTTTTCAATTTTTAAACCTTTTCAGTTTGTTTTTGGCTATTTAAGGCTGAAAAACGAAATTAATAAGAAGTTTTTGATGTTTATTCACTTTGTGAGATATTCTTCTTAGTTCTTGAAGAACTATTCCGAACTTATCAAGGTTTTCCTTGTGGCGTTCACCCTTGACTTATCAAACGGAATTTCCATACTCGTTTGTGGCGTCTTCACCGTCTTCACCATACCAAGGTTCTTGCTTCGCTAAGCAACGGGTCGCGGTTTCCATCAATTCTTGAAGATCTTGGATCGTATCCCATATTTGGCTACGGGTTTCGTCACATCGTTGGCGGGGTTCGTATCAATGTCGAAACCCTACACATGGAATTTATGTTTGAATGATTTGATATTGTTTTCAATTTCTCAATAGAAATCGTTTATGTTCTTCCAATTTAATTGTTCATGATTTTTTTTTTTTTTTTTGGGTGCGCAACCAATTAGGATTTCAAAATTATCTATTGCTAGATTAGGAATTCAAAATTATCTATTTCTTATTAAGGAAGGATTGGGATACAAAAGCTTATTGTTATCTACGGTTGGTGGTTTCTATAGAAAATTGGGAATTTTATCATTCATTCATAGTAATTCCATTGGCAAAAGGTGGAGATTAATCATTTAACCGTCTTTTTATTATTGATTGTTTTCTTTATTTATTTTCAAGCATTGTTTTATTTGATTTCTTGTTTAATTTTAGTTTCTTTAGTTTAGAATCCAAAACCCCCTTTTATTTAATTGCAAGATTTATAACTTATTAATTAAGATCAATCTTTTTGCGGGAACGATCCTTACTCATTACTATATTCAATAACGACAAACTAAAGTAAGGTTAAATTTGAGGTCCTACCAAATTGCCATCATTCATGAAATACCAGAAATTGTTGAACAACCAGTTGAGCAACGTGATCCTCAGGAACGTGTTGAACCAACATTAAGAAGATCTACAAGAACAAGAAAGTCAGCAATTTTTTATGACTATGTTGTGTATCTACAAGAAGTGGACTATAACATTAGAGCTGAAAATGATCCTGAAGTTGTATAGAATCTAAATTATGGTACGATGCCACAAAAAGTATTTCAACTTTGCTATAGTTAAAAGCTCTCACAAAAAGTCACATCTAAATTTTTTTGCTACAGTAAAAAAACTCTCACATAAAATTACATCTCAGCTCAATTTGAAAACTCAAATCAACGAACTGAACGAGGCCTTCGTCTCAAGTACAATTTATCAATTGTTACAACATTTTTATGTAGACTTCCATAATTATAATAATTCACTGTAATATGAATTAAAGCATGTTATGGACAACTTTGTTGTTGGAAATTTAATCATGCATGTATATCAAATATTGGTCCATAATCGGATGAATAAATGGTTTATTGACTAGCTTGAAGCCTATAGATTCCCTCTCCTATAAGTACTTTAGTCACCACATTGGGCCAAAGAACCTTTTTAGTATGAATTATTTAAACCCAACAGGCCTACTAAATTTAAGCACATATAGTTAAAGGAGAACAAATTATAGGGTAATCTTGACAAATACCCCTTAAAACTCTATAGGTCAGGATTTTTACCATTTACTCTTGATTTATAACCTTATTAGTCAAATAATTATACTAACAAAATGGTATTTATCAAGAGTAAGGGATAAGGGTCCAGACTCATACACTCTTAAAGATAAATTCTCTTTTTTTTCTAATAAAATTTATAGCCTCATAGAATGAGATCTAAGTGAATATATCTTTATTCATTAAGAAAATACTAAAATTACACAATAAAAAGAAAAAAAAATCCTACTAGGAAAGCAAAATTATTGAGGAAGAGAGTTAAAGCCATCTACTAGACACTAGTATAGTCATATTTAAGATTTCCATCAAGTCTTTTGGAAAAGATTCCATAAGTATAGTCATATTTAATATTTCCATCAAGTCTTTTGAAAAAGATTCCATAAATAAGCTTGAATATAAAGATTTTTTTAAAAGATAAATTTTCATTCAACTAAAAAGTCATACAGAAATCAATATTAATGCGAATGATTATGTGGTACACAATACAAAACACTCGATATAATGAAGCACTGAGAAGACGATGCAGGACGAAACCCGATGTCGGGAAAATTCCTCGACACATTACTTTGAGCACGCATAAGGGTCTTTTTGGAACCACTACAATTGATGGAAGCTTTCGATCCATTGAGATGATGTAGAGAAAATTACAAAAACTTACCTTTAAATACATCCTTCTGGAGTTCTACTATTTTGCTGTGATAAGCTACCTCTTTGATAATAATCTTTCAAATTATAGATAATAATTTGTCAAATTTTAGACAATAATCTGTTAAATTATGCCCGCCACCGGCGACCCGCCGTCGGCGACATCTGTCAAATTATCGCTAATAATTTGTCAAATTACTTACTTCAAAGGGGCAAAATTTAATAGGCTAATGTTAAGACCTAAAAATTCTTAATAGTATTATTTTAAGGGGTATTTGTCAAAATTATCTGTAATGTGTAGCTCTAATTGAATATTTTAAAGATTTAAAATATTCCTCACTTAAGCACACATGTAACGTGTAACAATAACATCTAATTGAATATTTTAAAGATTTAATTGGGATTTTTTTAATCCTAAAATAAATGTGAAAGATTTTAAACGATTACGATTTTTTTCTAAATTTTGAAAAGTTCCTCTAAAATAAGAAAAAAATTAAAAAATTATATTTCAAAAGAGAGAGAGAATGAAAGTAAGGTTCAAAAGAAAAAAAGTAAATCAAATGAAACAAACAAAATAGTCAAAAGGGTATAAAAACAGTCAACAGCAACCGATCAAAACGTGCATATTTATTGGCATTTCTGTTTTGGCATTTGCACTTTGCAGTGCGTTGAGCAATAACCGGGTCTTAGTGACCCGGTTTATCCCCAGAATTCGAAGCTACAAATTCTAAAGAGTAATTCAACACAACACTACTACTTCTACCACCACCACCACCATTACCAACCGCTACCACCCTATTAAACCTTTACTTTCTTCTCATTTTCTCTTTTATTTATCATTACTCGTAAGGTATGTAATTGTTTTTTTTCCCCCTCTTTTTTCTCTTTTATTTTTCATGAAGGATTTTGTCTTATTTTGCGTCCAAAAAGTGTTGATACAAAGAAAAGAAAAACGGCTTTTCACCGGTTTAGATGGAGCAGAGGTGATTGTTTTCTCAATATTTAATTATTATAAATGATTTTTGTTGTACATTAACTAAAGAAAAAAAAAAGATTGTTCTTTATAATATTTGATAATATAATGATTTTTGTATAACAAGAACAACATAGAAAAAGAATTGTTCTATAGAATATTGGTGAAAATTCCCAGGATTGACTTAAGATGTGAAAACTTGATTCATAGTGCTAGTAGTACGTTTCTTAGTATTGAAACGTATATGGCTTGTTTTATTTATTTTTCTTTGATTACTAATATATAATAAAAAATTGTGTTGGCTTATTAGAGTGTCCGTTCTTCTAGGTTGTTCCTTCATGGTTATGAATCTTATATGGGTTTTGGAGAAATCTAAATTTTACGTGGGTTACAAACCGGGACAAGTTCAAACCAGGGGAATAAAACGACATTTTTTTTTTAAATAGATATGTGGGTCCAAACGGCTGAGTCAAACCCATTGATTATTATTAAGAAATCATTTGAGGCCAATTGAAATTTATAATTTTTAGTATGGATTTGGTGCTTCATACAGTGCTGTAATGGGTATCCAATTTTTTAGGTTTATTTTTCTTACTTTTGAAGAGCCAATATCATGCTGTGAACTATTAGGATTATTTTGTGACTTTAGATTTTTTTTTTTTTTTTTTTGGGCTAGAGTAGAAGGGTCATAGGAATAGAGGTCATGATATAATCAAATATTTCCAGAGGCACTGCATCCTTGTGTGACATGTGAATCCCTTGTAAAGTGGACTTATCCATACCCCACCCACCATGATGGTCGATGGGTCTGTCTCGAACCCAAAACCTTGTCGAGGAGAAGGAATAACCATGCCAACAACCAAATGACCACTGGGGTTTTGTGACTTGAGATTGATCCATAATCCATAATTCACATTGCTGAAATGTCATGGGAATGGTCTTTGAAGTTGCATGCCATTGTATATGATATTATGTTCTGTATGTTCTGTTAGATAATCATGTGCTTGATGGGATAAGTATGTCCAGATTATATGCTCAAGTATATTTAGTTGGTCATGCGCTACTTGTTTTTGCACTTTTTTATTTACAACCACCTTTTTCAACCACCAAAAGCACTAGCAAAAGGGTTGAAGGCGTCTAGGACCATTCTGTTACTTTCATAATCATAAAAATGATGACATTATAGTTGTGGGTTGGGTTTATAATCAATTGATTCCAAGAATTTGCATAATAACATTGTAGGTGAGGTTTTTCAGAAAAGTACTAGGCAATAAAAAGCTCTATAGCAAATAGAAGAACTGAAAGACACCATGGAAGAAGATGACATCTACACGAAAGATGGGACTCTGGACATAAACAAAAACCCTGCTAATAAGAAGACAACTGGACATTGGAAAGCCTGCCGCTACATTCTTGGTATGATTTGTCCTTTTTTGGCCTTTAAAATTTTGCCTTAGCTATAATCCCTTTTATCTATTTGATATGTGTTATTACTAAATGACTTTTGGTAGGAAATGAGTGTTGTGAGAGGTTGGCATACTACGGGATGAGCACCAATCTGGTGAACTATCTTGAGGAACGTCTCAACATGGGAAATGCCGCAGCAGCCAATAATGTCACGAACTGGGCCGGAACTTGTTACATCACACCGTTAATCGGAGCCTTTCTTGCTGATTCATACTTGGGAAGATACTGGACAATTGCTAGTTTTTCGATTATTTATGTCTTTGTAAGTTTCCTACCAAAGCCACTTTCATACCTTAAACTCCAGCAATCCTTGCCTTTGATGTGGCATTGGCATTTCTATCAAGCTTCTAGTTCTCTCAACTTTGAATATGACCTTTACTTCACCTTAAATTTGTTTATCTTTGGAAGAACTCAAATTGATTCAGTATATTAAACCAATGATTCTATCTCTTTTATGACATTTTCCTCCAATATGCTTAATTATTTTTGAGTGTCTGAACTTTCGTGCAGGGGATGACACTCTTGACATTGTCTTCTTCCGTTCCTGGACTGAAGCCATCTTGTGACAAGGCTGGTTGTCACCCAAAAACATTGCAGACTGCTGTCGGCTTTATAGCCCTGTATATGATCGCACTTGCTACTGGTGGAATCAAGCCATGTGTCTCATCTTTTGGCGCTGACCAATTTGATGAAACTGATGAGAAGGAGCGGAAAAAGAAGAGTTCTTTCTTCAATTGGTTTTACTTTTCCATCAATGTTGGAGCGCTAATCGCTTCATCGGTCCTTGTCTGGATTCAGATGAATGTGGGATGGGGTTGGGGATTTGGCATCCCTGCAGTTGCAATGGCCATTGCAGTTGTGTTCTTCTTCTCAGGCAGCCGGTTGTACCGTCTTCAAAAACCTGGAGGAAGTCCCCTTACAAGGATTGTTCAGGTTATCATCGCATCTTTCCGGAAGTTCAATGCACAAGTCCCTGAAGACAAGTCCCTCCTTTATGAGACTGCTGATGAGGAATGCGATATCCAAGGAAGCCGTAAGCTTGAGCACACAGACAAGTTAACGTAAGTATGTTATACCCAAGGTATCAGTAGCTAGGTCTTATTTTAGCCTATGATTCTAACTCTTTCAAATACACCATTCTTCTTTGTTAGATTTTTCAATGATCAGCACCTATGACGTTCTTTCCTATACTAATTTCTACGTTCAGTATTAGTGCTGAAATCTATTATGAATGACTTTTATACAAGTTAACATCGAAGATAACTAATAAGCTGATCAATGAGGTTTATTTGAATTAGGAACACCATTTGTTGACAAAAATAGTTACATTTGCAAGTTGTTTGCAAAATGTTAGTAAATAGTTAGATTTATGCAACTGTTTGGAAAATTCTGCTGACTAGAGGTTATGCTCTGGCATTGACTTACCCTTTAATTAAAAGGGAGTTCTCTAAGTTTAAAACAAAAATACACTGTCAATAAAGAATGCACTGAGTAAGCTGCCTGTTTTCTAGTATGTGTAAGATATATAATCCATTATTATGTTGCTCTTCTGACGCTCAATGTTGTGAAATTGCAGCTTCTTTGACAAGGCTGCTGTGCAAACCGAGACCGACCATATAAAGGGCGGATTGGCAAACCCGTGGCTACTCTGCACAATTAGTCAAGTTGAAGAGCTCAAGTCTGTTATTAGGTTACTTCCAATATGGGCATCTGGGATAGTCTTCTCCACAGTTTACAGCCAAATGAACACCATGTTTGTGTTGCAAGGGAACACGTTGGACCAACACATGGGTTCACACTTTGAAATCCCATCTGCTTCTCTTTCTCTATTCGACACTCTTAGCGTTCTCTTTTGGGCTCCTTTGTATGACCGGATCATCGTCCCATATGCAAGGAAGTTCACTGGTCACGAACGAGGCTTCACTCAGCTGCAAAGAATGGGAATAGGCCTTGTCATCTCCATCTTTGCCATGATATCCGCTGGGATTTTGGAGGTTATTCGTCTAAGCATTGTGAGGGGCAAAAACTATTATGATCTGAAGACAATTCCCATGTCAATATTCTGGCAAGTCCCGCAATACTTTCTCATCGGATGTGCTGAAGTTTTCACCTTTATTGGACAATTGGAGTTCTTCTATGACCAAGCTCCCGATGCCATGAGAAGCATGTGCTCCGCTCTCTCCCTCACGACTGTTGCATTAGGCAATTACTTGAGCACTGTGCTAGTTACAGTTGTGACCAATGTGACCACAAACAATGGAAGTCTTGGTTGGATTCCGGATAACTTGAACAGAGGCCATCTTGACTACTTCTACTGGCTCTTGGCAATCCTTAGTCTTCTTAACTTCTTTGTGTATCTCGGGATTGCCAAGCGCTACACTTACAAAAAGGCGGTGGGGCGTCCAGGCTAATAATACAAGACCCATCCAGCTAGTTAATTCTAATCTGGTGTTTTAATCCTCTATTATTATTTCAAGATTTGGATGCATTGTTGGATGTGAATCTGGTTATTTATAGATATTTAAGGTATGCCTGTTTCTTTTAGTGCAGATTTTAAGTTCTTATTTATTTATTTTTTAAGATATCCTTTTTCTTTCTCTGAGTTGCTTAGGGGACATTTAGTTGGAGGATTCAAACCATGATTTGAATCATGGTTCATGGTTCACTACAGTGTTTTCTCTCACAAAAAATACACGTAAATCAAAAATAGTTCTAATCACATGATTCTAATCCATGAACCAAACGTCACCTTAGTGTTATATGTTGATGAGCATTGGGTAATGAGTATTGGTAAGGTCAAGATGGTGAAATGCTGAAATTTACAATTATTTTCTTGTGATAAATTGTTGGTGGCCCACCAAACAGGGTACTTTTCAGATCACTTTACATTCCGTTTGGTTGGAAGGAAAGAAGAGATGGAAAAAAATTCCCAGTGCATAGAAAGGCAAGAAAATGTGTCATTTATATCATCTCTATTATACTACTTATATCATATCATTTGGAAATGGTAAAGTGAATAAATGTATCGAGCTTCACTTTAGAGTCTTCCCCTCAAGACTATGAATTGATTATGAGATGTACTAATACTTTATTCTAATCAAATTTCACATGTTTTCTATTTATCATTTCGTTGCTTTTACCTTTTAGCCCATGAGAGTCCTGGTGGATTTCTGCAAATATTATAACTTAAACTTTCGGATGTCAAAAAGAGTGATTGTGGTGACTCTCCTTTATCTCCTCTTGTTCAAGGAATCCTCTTTTCCAAGAAAATTTAATGTTGATGATTGATTTTCATTGCTCAGAGAAAGTTTGACATGCATTTTACATACTAATCGAACATTACTAATGTATGTTCAGATAGAAGAAAAAAAACTTCGTTTATACATAGAGAATTCTATGGTAGGGAATGAAAGTTTCCTATCGAAATAACACAAATCTAAATTACCTAATTTTCATCCAATTTTACTTAATTATCATATTTTTTTAATTTAATATGCCTCTATTGTAATTTAATAATTCGGAACTATATTTTACATAGAGTTTTGCCTCATGCGATTATAGTTGGGAGACATTAGAGGCTCGTAGAATCCGCTTTTCTTTTTTTTCATACTCCGCCATAAAAGTCTCGTTTCAGTCTTTTCTTCAACCAAAAAAATAATAATAATAAAATAAAAAATAAAAAACCTTGTACACACCATATTAGTTGTGTCTCCCCAATCCCCACGAGACAAATTGCGGGTTCACCAATTAAGGAAAAATAAAAAGGGAGAAAAAGGCCATTTCAAAAAAGAAAAAAAGAAAAAGAAAAGAAAGGAGTTATATTATCTTGTATCTTGTTTTTATATAAAAAGGTATACCTTGCAATTTAAAATCCTTCATTTTTATATTATCAAGTTTACATTTAATACACAAATTCATACTTTTTTGGATCGTCACTCAATTTTAACCGTAAAAATACCCAAGATACCTTGAAAAGAAAAAAGATACAAAATAAAAAAACAAAAACTTGAAACGTAAAACTCGACGACAAATAACCAAAGTTTTTCTCGTTGCCCAAATTTAAACTTTTTAGTTGTTTTTCCCTTGTATTTTGGGTACTCTTTATTTCAAAATCAAGTGGACACCAACAAAAATATGAATTTGTGCATTGAACATACTTTAATGGTAAAATAATATACCATCTTTTTCTAACAAGCAAACAATACATTCCACTCTCCTTTTCTCTTTTTCTAAAATTATTTTTAAAAAAAATACCCAAAAAAAAATCGATTAGATATGGATAAAGCCCAATAAAAATGAGAGGCTTAAAAGAAGTTCCACTTCCACTGTGCACGGAAATATTTCACTCTTCTTTCTCTTCGTCCCATCCAAGTCCAACCCACCCTCCCATATCTTCTTTCAACACAAGAAAAGATAATATGATTGCACTTAAAGCCATTCAAACCTCTTTCACTGCTAAAAAGAGTGCATCTTTCCACACAACTAGACTATCTAACAACAAAAAGAACTCAACCCTTTGTCTTTGTAAGTCGAAGGATTCCGACCCCGAGGGCGCCTCTCCTGAAGGAGACACTCAGAAGCAAGAACTTCTTGCCCGCATAGTTCAGCTTCAAGCTCAGAAAGTCCGTCTCACCGATTACTTAGACGAAAGATCCACGTATCTCGCACAATTCGCGGAAGAGGCTAATGCTGAGTTCGACAAGATTGGAGAAGATGCTTTGAAAGAACTTGATGAGGCTGGTGACAGGGTCTGTTTATTTTCCTACTAGTTCATGAAAACTCAATTACCATGAACAGGAATTTTCAATGCAATATAGATGATCATGATTCATAATAACCAACTTGTTTGTTCATTTGTGGTTGAGCAGATTATGGAGAACATAAAGAGCCGTATGCAGGAGTTTGAGGAATCTGCAGAGCAGAACAGGCAAGAAATTGAGGAGAGTGAAAACAAGTTGGCAAAGTTTGAAGACCAGATGGACAAAGACCGAAACGAAGGCTTATTCTTCAAGAACCTGAGCCACAGAACACCCCAAAAGAAAGTGTCCGCTAAGGAGGAAATGGAAAGGATTAAAGAGGTAACAAAAGGGAGTGTGGGATCGAAAATCAGAAGAAACATTTACCTAGCGTTGATTGGTGTGTTGGTCATTGCAATTGCTGATTCTTTTGTTTCTTCATCGGATTGGCGAAAGATCACAGCTCTAGGGGCAATTTTGGTGGGCTTGATTTCTCAGGTCATCTATGAGCAGAATATGTTATCTGACATAAAAGAAAGAGAAAAGGGTAAGAAAGAAGAAGAAAACAAGTGACATCCGTACTTATAGTGTGAAACCTATTGAACCAATTGTTTTAGGAATATAGCGTGATAACATAGACCCAAGTAAAATCTAACGACTTGGGCTTGATACATCAAGCAACTAGCTTTTGCATCATCATATTCAGCTGGTCTTGGTAATGGTACTAAAATCACCAAAACCTGAATTGCCATCTGATGCTTATCAAAGTTTTTCTCTAGCATGATTACTGTAAAGCAAATGGATCATGTAGCTTGATAACAGTCAATTCAGCATATATATTCTTATGTTTCATTTGTACTTAAATAGACACGGTATAACCTATGGAAACAAACTTTGCCTAATAGAGCTGACAGGCTTAAAATAAAAAGCATAACCCATTTTATGAAATGGTTGTACAAAAGGGTAGATAAAGCTAAGACTGAAATATCCAGGAAAATGCAGGTATTTTGTGGATGTTCACCAAAAGAAAAAGTTGGGGGGATTACGGGGTGGTATTTGTGGATTGCATTTTGTTTTATATTTGGAAATACCTCGACTTTCAACAGCTAAAAAAATCTCTTGCCATAAGCTCGTAGAAGGATTCTAAAAACGCAAAAATGTGCAACAAAATGCAGATGACCTAGGTTATCCCCAGCAGGTTGGCGGTCCGGATTCTGGAGAACTCCCAGCTTCACCAAATAATGAATTTAGATATTTGTTCAGGATACGCAGAGAATAAAGAATCCAGCCTGCATCAGGAAAGAACTTTTGCAATGACAACAAGATTCCAGGAAGTATAGAGAGAAAAAAACAAATGCAACAGAAAAAATGGGAACAGAAAAGAGTAGTTTAATTTCTCATGTAAATACACTATTAACCTGTAATCTCTTTCAAAAGATGAGCAGTTCTTATTATATTTAGTAATTCTTTGGCTTGGATTCGATGCCATCATTATAACCTGCGGCAACTGCATATTGTAGCATCTTATAAACAACTTGTGGCAATCATTCCAACATGTTTCGAGGTTCCCAAGCATCAAAACTCCTGAGAGAAGCTAAAACGATATGTGACCCCAGAAGCAACAAGTGCAGATGATGAAATCCATCAAAAGCCACAGGATACTAAACTAACAAGCTCTTTTCAATCCCAAATGGATCAAATATTTACCCCATTGTTTATCACCGCTCTAACAAGAATGCTCCATGTTATAACAGTTGGAAGAATTCCATGATCCAAAGCATCATTCACAAACCTCATGGCATCTGCCAATCTATTGCACGAGCAAAGCCCCTTGAGAGTGATATTATATGAAATGATATCTGGTTGTAGCCCACATTTTAAAATGCGAGCCCACATATGCGATGCCTTATTACAGTCTCTGGCTTTGAAAAAACCCTCCATGAGGGTGTTATGTGTCACAAGATTCGAAACACAGTTCAACTGCCTCATCTCAAAATAGAGTTGCAAAGCATCTTCCACTTTGCCTGCACAGCATAGCTTGTGGATTACAATGTTGTGCATTGTCACATCAGGCTTTAAACCCTTGTCAAGAGCTTGCTTCCACAAGTTGAGAGCCATGTTGATTTCCTTGCCTTGACTAAGGCCATTTATCAACAAGCTATACGTGATCATATCTGGTTTCCAACCCTTTTCGAGCATTTCTTTTGCAAAAAGATATGCATCACTAAATCTTTCTGCTTTGCATAAACCATGTATGAGAGTATTATAAGAGACAACTGTAGGAGAGCAACCCTTGTTCCTCATTTCCCCGAAAAAGTGAATTCCAGATTCAAGTTTGGAAGCTCGAATGAATCCATCAATCATTGAATTGCAAACGTGAGAATTCAGTTTATGACCGTGTTTACCCATTTGATCTATTACTCTAGACGCTTCATCTAATCTCCCTCCTTTGCATAGCCCGTTAATCATCGAGGAATATGCAAAAATATCTAAATCAGCTCCCTTACTTTTTGCCTCTTGTAGTATAAATAAAGCCTTATCCAAATACCCATTTTTACACAATCCATGAATTAGTACACCGTAAGTTGTACAATCCGGGATATGACCTTTCCCAAGAAAATCTTCCCAAAAAGAAATAGCTTCATCCACCTTCTGGTTCTCAAGCAACCCTTTGAGTAATATGTTGTAACTTACAACATTCCGACAACCACTCCTTCCCATAGCTTCCCACACCTCAAAGAACTCCCTGATCCACCCTGCTCGGCAAAACCCGTTAAGCATTGCATTATACGTAACAACATCAGGCGACACGCCACTCTCAACCATCTCTCGGTAAACTTGCTCAGCCGCATCAACATTTTTAGCTTCACACAGCCCATGAATCAACGAGCTATAAGTAAACAAATCCGGCTCTCTCTCGTTCTTCTTCATCCTGTTCCACATCTCAAAACCTTCATTAAACTTCCCACATTTGCACAAACCATTAATCATAACATTGTAAGTCACAGCATTAGGATATACCTCGGACCCTTCCAACAACCTCTCCCAAATCTGCTTAGCCTTTTCCAAATCCCCTTTTCTCAAAAACCCATCAATCAAAATATTATAACACATCACATCTGGAGTAACCCCTCTCTCAAGCATTTCATCGAACACCTCCAAGGCATTCCACAACTTCCCATTTTTTACCAGCTCATTGATCAAAGTACCATAACTTACAAGATTAGGCTTCAAACCTTCACTCCACATCCAATCCAACAACTTCTTCGCCTTCTCAAACCTCCGTTTCTTACACAAAACTTTGATCAAAACATTATAACTCTGCAAATTCGGCGAAACCCCACGAGACCCAGAAAAATACGCGAAGAATTGCTCGGCCTTATCCCACCGGTTCGCCTCAACAAAAGCATTGAGAAGAGAATTGTACGACCTTACCTCCGGTTTACACCCGAAAATCTCGTCCATGCGTCGGAAAACATCGAGTGCTTGATCAGGCATCGAGTTTTTCCCGTACGCCTTGATCACCGCCAAGGCGACGTCTTCTGGGCACTCGCATTTCTGGGTCCGAATAAGCTCGACGACCCGATTCACATGGGAGACGAGATTCGGATCGATCAGACGGCGGAGGACGTGGTGGAAGACGGTAGGAGAGTGGGCGTAACCCGGCTGGCGACTTGCTGAGTAGAAGAGAGCGAGGGCTTTGTGAGTGTTCTTCTCTGCTTTGAGGAGGTTCAAAAGTTGTTTCGGAGAGAGGGATTTGCGAAATTCCACCATAGCAGATATGTTGGGAAGGTTTTGGGTTTCTTCCTCACAGTCTCATTACTATGGCATTCGTGGTTTCGTTTTTCTGATTAAAATCGGTGGTCAGTTAAGGCGCTATTCAAACAAAAACTCAATTCGTAAGTTCCATAATTTTCTCATTTTTTTTTTCATTTACCACTGAAAAAAAAAAAATTATTTGCTTGGAGAAAAATCTTTTACCAATTGTAAAAAAATTACGTAAAAAATATTTATTTCAAAATAATTTTAAAATCTGCTTTAATTATTTATTATAAATTTGTTATTTACTTCATTCTTTTTATTTTTAATATATTTTTAAAGTGAACCAATGTATTACTCTTTTAATATGTTTTTGAGAGTAAACCAATGTATTACTCTTGAGTGAACAGGTGGTAAAAAAAAAACTTTTCCCCATAAACACATAATTAAGGTAAATAGCTATTCGTTTGTGAGTAAATCAGTAATTTTAAATGAGAAAATTGGTGAACTCACTCTTTAAATATATTATTCTAAGATTTTTATTATTTATTTTTAATTAATACACTTTTGACTAATATAATTTTTTAACTAAAAGGTATTAATTAAAATTAACTGTGAAAATTTAAGACTCATACATTTTAAGAGGTATTTATCTCTTTTTATATTTAAAGAAAGAAAAAAAAAATTATCGACACAACCACAAAATTTAATTAAAGAAACCACTGCTTTAAGAAAACAAGTGGCTTAAGGGATAAAAAAAATCCACAACATAAACAACACATATCAAAAAATTGAGATAAACCATTAGTCTACTTCTGAGTAAACCAGCGATTAAAAAAAAAAGAAAAAAAAAATCTCCAAATAGACAACACAGATAAAAGAATTAACATGAACCAATGGTTTATAGGGAGGGGGGCGGAAAAAAAAAAAAGAAACAGATTCTCTATGCACAAATCTCAAATTTTAACCTAAAGATACGTAAAAGAAGCAAAGAGGTTGTTTTGTCCTTTGGCCATGTGTCAATCTCTAATTTATTCTTTATATTTTATTTTTGTTTTTACTTTTTCTATTCTTTTCATTTTTGATTTCTTGTTGCTTCTTCATTTTTATTTTTTTATTTTTTTTTCTTAAAATTCCTATACAATTTATTTTTATTTTTTCCTCTTTTTTTCTAATATTTTTTTCTTTTGCCTCTAATATTCTTCCACATTTTATTTATTTTTACAATATCCTTTTTTTAAAATACTTTATTTCTCTAACTTTCTTTTAATTAAAATACTTCTTTTCAAATATCTCCCCACTTAAGTTTTATGTTTTGGTCAAAACTCTTATATAATTAATTTGATTCTTTTTCATGTGTTTTTTTTTTTTTTTTGGAAATGTTTTTCCTCTTCCTCCGATTAATAGACTTAGTTTTAAAAAAAGCTACATGTTTTAACGCAAGATTAACCTTATAAAGTTATTCTTCATGTGCATAGCACGTAACTCAACTAGTTTTAACAAAGTTACTGAAAGTATAAATTTTAAAATCGCAACAACAAAAGAATAAAACAAAACAAAACAAAATTTTCTAAAGATCTTCGCTAGAATTCCAAAAAAAAAAAAAAAAAAAAAAAAAAAAGGAGAAGAAAAGAACTTATCGTGAAGCTATAGGTGAAATGATCCAGGGAGATCTTGTTGTTGGCATCTCGAAAGCTAGCAATGACAATAATACTGTTTAACCTCAAAAATCATCCAAACCACAGCACAATATGGTTTTTTATTTTATTATTTAGCTTAGGGTCTAATTAGTATTTAACTACACAATGTGGTTGAAAATTTTGAACCTACAATTAATGAAACTGCACAACAAATACCGAAACACTTTGTTGTGGTTATGCATTTCATTTTTTCGACCGTGGTTAAAAATACCACTAACCACACTTGTAATTTGATGAAAATTGTTAACAATAATCGCCCAATCCACATTGCCTTCATCTCCAGCAGCAAAGCTGAGTAGGCGGAGAAGTGAGAAAGGTGAAGAAGTTCGTGTGTTCATATGGTTTAAACTTAGTACATGCGTTCATATAGTTTAAACTTTAAAGTTTAAACCAATGAGCCAAGTTTACAACGGTGTTAAGATTTATAATTGTACATGATTTTTGAATCGAGAAAATGAGATCAATATCTTTTAAGGTGTATGAATTTAAATTTTTATTATTTACTCCTGATTAACGTCATTTTGGTCAAATAATTAATTAGATAAAAAAAAGTATTAATTAAGAGTAAGGAGTAAAAATTCAGATAGGGACTCGTTTAGTTCGCTGATTCGAGGTTTTAATTCGAGTTGAGATGTGACTTTATGTGAGAGCTTTTTACTGTAACAAAAAAGTTAAATGTGACTATTTTTTAGAGCTTTTTACTGTAACAAAATTTAAATTTTAACTCAAATTGATGAAATGAATGGGGCTAGTAATTTTCTCTTTTGTGAATCTTTTGGGTTGTTTGGTTGCTATATTCATGCTATGATTCGAATTATAGTTCATAATTCGTTACAGTATTTTCTCTCACAAAAAACACACGTAAATCAAAAATAATTCTGAATCATAATTCTAAATCTATGAACAAAACGTCAACTTGATATTTTGGATCAACCAAAGGCATTGTGTAATTAACTCTTACTTCAAAAGGGATCTTGCAGGGGCAACACTAGGCATTTGATTAGTTTATGGGCTGTATATTAGGGCTAGGTCTAAACCAGTAATATTGGGCTCTATGGATGGCATCCATGGGTTGATCCTAGTTCCTAATCCGATCTGTGTCCTAGTACAAATAATAGTGCTCCAGTTAATTAAGATTTGTATTTAAAGTTTTTATTAGCATTCTTTTAAAAATAAACAAAAAAAGAAGAAGAATTATCATATCTCTACGGTGAGGGAAAAAAAAAATAAATCAGTGATTTATTTACTAATCATAAAAGTAAAAACTAGTGATTACTTACGAGGTAGATTAAAATAAGAGTAATATGGACTTCATTAACTCGAAAAAAAAAAAAGAAATGGGTGAAAACCAATGCCTCTTTTACAAAGTAGTATGTTAACATAAAAATAATTTTGGACTTATGCTAATCTAATTATTTAAAATAATTGGACTTATGCTAATATAATTATTCAAAATAATTAGACTTGTGTTAACACAAAAGTAGTATGTATTTAATATCCCGCATCTTTGCGTTGAAGTTATACCATGTGAAGATCCTTCTTATTCATTTAAAGGGGACGGTGATATATGTCCTTTCTTTGTTATTATACTCTGATTTTGCCTAGTATAATTATTGCCAATATTTGATAGGATTAACTCCAAAGGGACCCCAAAATAAAAAAAAATAATAATAAAAAAAAACCTATATAGTTTCTGACATGCCGTCTTCAATCTCATGGTATATGATACAAAAAAAAAAAAAAAGATGCTTGGTGTAAATACACTAAAGTCATACATGATGGTTCCTTTTGTTTTAATGCTGATATGGTGTGGCCTAATTCAAAGACTAAAAAAGCTGCAAAGAAGCATTAAACAATAGAAACACAGTTACAATCATTAAAGGAAGATCATGTACCAAAATCAAACAAGAGGTAATGCTGCTATTCATTGACCACTACACTACACATTTATGATAGTGTACAAACATTGACTCTCATAACTCTCGTAATTCAATTTTTGTAGTCAAATGGGAATGCACAAACATTATATTAAAAATATTAAAAAGATGCAACAAAACAATGCCCAATGCCCAAGTGTAGACAAGAGCATACAACCGTTGACAATTAAGTTCACTACTACCTTAAACAAATGATTATTCACCCACTTGTCCATTAAGAGATTAATGGGAAGAACTTGGGCATGCCATTGATTTATGAGCCTTTTTTATTACTCTTTTTTTTTTTTTTTTTTGCCTTTCCCTCTTCTTTCTTTCTTTCTTCCTTTTATCCACTCCATGAAGGAACATGTTGGGATGTTTTCCTCCTCACTTTTTTGACTTTGGAGGCAAAACCTTGTTGATCATAGAGCTTTTTGCATATGCAGAGAAAAGGAGAAAGCGCATAGTCTCTCAAACTTAGTGAGTTTTTTTTTTTTTTTTTTTTTTTTTTTTTTTTTTAAATGTCGATTAGTTTGATTCCTTCAACATCTTTGTGGGGAAATAAGAATCTTTTATTTTCAGATGTAATCATTACTAAGTTTGTTTCTCATTTTGCTGATGAGATTTCAGTTTTATTTTCCTTTTTTTTTCGGTTCAAGGAACTTCATTGTGAAATCTCCGGTCGAATTTCATTTTCAATGCACGTTTAGTATATTGTGACAAAGATTTTGGAGCGTTTTTCTTTTTCTTTTCTTTTTCTTTTCCTTATCCTTTCTGGATGATTTCAGAAACTTTCTTTTTCTTTTTCCCCCTCCTCTTTTCACTTTAACATTTGATCAATATATACTTAAGAAGCAGTATTTCGGTGCAATATCGCCACGTAAGGAAGATGCTGTAAATTATGTTATTAAACATCAAAATCAATAGTTTATAATTATATAAAACCAGGGTAAAGAAACAGAGAATGGTACATAATCCAATGAGTTTCCAAGCTAGAAATACTAAAGTCGTTGAATAAAAAAGTTCTAAGATCAAATCCCCCTCCAATTGAGACTAAAATCTAGAAGGATTTTGGAAAGGAAAAGATTATCTAAGTTTTTAAACTGGCTAAAAAACCATGAAACAAAATGTTATCAAAGGACAAGTTACACAAAAAATACTGCATTTTTTTTTCTTTTAATTTTCTCTCTCTTCTTTTTAACAGAACTCTTTACTGCAAACAAACAAAGTTGCTCTTCATAAACACTACAAGAAAAGTACTGTTGTCCCACATAAAAGTAGATAAAAATGTGAAATTGTTTATATATATAATGGTCTAAGAATTAATAGGTTAACATTTTATGTCAAATTAGGCTTTTTATAGTGTGTTAGTCTAATTTCGCATGTAATTTCTCCCCATCAACTGGTATCTGAGCCAATAATTCGTTCAAGTCAAGCGATCACATTCAGTTACAGTTACAAGTGTGGATGATGGAGCATTTGGTGAACTCGTATGTTCGAGTTAGCTCCTATTGAGAGTGTGATGCTTAAGATGTGTCAGCTACTTGAAACTTTAGTTCGAGTAAGAGCTCAATGAACACACACGAGAGGGAGATTGCTAAGAAAAGTGCATGTATGTATTATCACATATAAAAAATAAATGAAGATGTGAAATGATTTATATTCTTAACATGTGTGTGTTCATGCTAAGTTAATTTTGCATGTGTTGTCCCTCCAAGGTTGATCTTTGAATCATGACCATATTCAATTATGAGTTTTCCACCACTTTTCGTACACAGGAACAGAGCCCAGAGTATATATGTGGTAAAAAAGATGAGAATGAATAAAAGAAAACAACAAAGAGAACTCTCCAACTATTTCTGCATAACTTTGAGTTTTGCAGTCGATTGATTGCTGTAGCAAAGGTTTTTGTGCCTCCTATGATCATTGGAGCTTAGTTTCCATTGAGTTTATCATCAAGCGCCTGAGGTAACCCAAAAAAAAAAAAAAAAGCATAGAAGATATTGGATATGGTCATGATTCAATCAATCTGGTAGACAAATGCAGACTTGAACTCTGAAGAACCCGATGAACCAATCTGAGAGACATACTGAGTCCTGACCATTAAAGCTCCATAATTGGAACAATTTAAACTCAACTGGACGCAAATACACAACCACATCAAGTTCAAACAAAAGGACATGTTGGGATAGAATGACAAATTGTCATTGCATTTAGACACCATATGAGAAGAAAATTGATGCTCACAAATGACCAATACATTTCAACAAAACTGAACTTCAACAGTCCCATGATTAACTTCTCTTTCTGATAAAGAGTGGGGTATAGCAGCTGACGGTCATTCTCTGCAGTATTCTTCATATTCCATCAAAATAAAATAACATCATCTGCTGCCTTGACATATAGCAAAATAGTTTCTTTTCATGTTGAAGAGGAAAAAATAAATAAAAATGCCTGTATGATATATTGCTTTCGCATGCGACAAAAATCAGTTCAAACAAGGACGAGGAATCAAACCATACCAAACCGTATTCTACTGTCTTGTATCAATTAATTGTGCAGACGAGTGGCAAAACCCAGGTGGGGAAAAATGAAAAGCCCACCATTACCACCGCTTTCTATTGGAAAACATAACACGCCAAAAAGCAAACAAAACATGCCCTTATATTCCTTGAAAAAGAAAAATAAACCAAAAGGGACATAATGGGTCATGCATCCAACTGATAAAGGTAGCAAATCTTTTTTCCCCTTATTAATTTCTGATGTACATACATACCCAAATCCATTTAACAACAAAACATGTTTAAGGACAAGAAACACCTCATTATGGTAACAGAAATAAGATAAAGAAAAGAAGCATGCTAATCACAACAAAGAAACAATATCAGAATTTTTTTTTTTTTTGTTTTGTTTTTAATAATCCAACCAACCAAGAAGAATACAAAGGCATGTGTGGTTTTACACAACAACAAAGGAAAAGAAGAAAAGCAGCAAAATTAACAACATTAATTTATAATAATAATGATGATAATAACCCCCAAAAGAAAACAACTTATGGACCTTAATTCAGGTTTAGTAGTTGCAGCAGCAGCAGCAATAGTAATAGAAAGTACTCTCTCATTCATGATCAGTACAGTCGCAGTACGCTTCTGGCTATGGAATGTGCCTGGTTGTACCTACTCTTCCCATTACCACCTCTCCGGCTACTTCTCATCGGCGTCAAGTAGAATCTCAGCAGCCCATTTTCGCCGTTGTTCGGCGAATACCGAGCACTTCGATTCCGCTCCAACCCCAACTCTTCTTTCTTCCTCTTCACATGCCCATTACTCTCTGCATTGCTCTTCCTCATGCTCCCAAAGGAGACCCCACCATTCCTCCAGCTGACACTGCTGTTGCTCCGGACCACCTTCGGATTGAAATTGAAGCCTCCTCGGTTGTCGCCATTTCGCTCCGAAAATGTCTCAGACAACGACCTCTCGACGCCATTTGGTCTGCTGCTATACCTATCGTCTTCTTCATCCTTGTTCCCTCCTCTCCTGTGAATGAACCCCCAAATGCTCCACGCTTTGCTCCATCGCTTCGATTTCTTGGCCCCTTTGTCCTCAAAATTCTCTGAGTAGTCGTCCCTAAGCGAATTCGAGTTCGAATCCCTCCCCGGTAAGTAATCTCCGATCGCCGGAGACACTTTCGCGTTCGAAGCAGACTTCATTTCGTCAATCTCGGCGACCACGGCCTGCGCTGTCTTCCGAATCGAATTCGACCGATCGAGGCTGCGGCGCCGCCTAGACGACGAGTCTGAGTAGTAATCCCGGGTCTGCGCTGACCCACCGGGGACGGTTTCATCCTCGTTAATCGAATTCATCGGGTCCTCGACGGGGATTTGCGTGTCGGACCTCGAGACGGGGACGACCGGAGCGTCTTCAACGACGGAGACCATCGTGGGCATTCTCGGGAAGGTTCTGCCGATCAAGTAGCCGTCCCAGGAGGCCCGTGGCTCGTCGAAGGAGTACCGCGGGTCGTCGAACGATATCCGGCCAGCGTCGAGCGACATTCGGCCGGCGTCGAGAGAGAATCTCGGGTCCGTGTCGCAGGATCGGCGGCCGAAGCCGTAGTCGGCGATCTCCGACTGCGTTTCCCTGAACTGTCTCCCGATTGGCTTCTCCACCGGCAATGTGGCCGAAACGCCCCCGTTTTGGCGCTTCTTCATCTTCTGCTTTTGCCTCCATTTCTGCAATTTCTTGCTGAAAACCGAAGCCGCCGACCAGAAGCTCCCGGCGATCTCCTTCAAATCTCGCTTCTTCGTCTGCGAATCGAGATCTATGTGGTCCTTCATCTTCAACTCCAATAACTCTTCAACCTGCTTTTTCCTCTCCTCTCTTTCCTCCTCCTTTTCTTCTTCTTCTTTTTCTTCTTCTTCTGCTTCTTCTTCTTCTTCTTCTTCTTCTTCCTCAACAATTTCTTGAACTCTATCTTCAATCACATTACTCACCTCCTCCGAAACCCTAATTTCCTCCTCGTCTTCCCCGTTCTCACCTTCGTCCTCGCTCTCCTCCTCCTCTTTGGACTCCAATACCGGACCTTGAACGCTCGATGCTCCGATATTTCTCCCAGTTTCGGGCTCGAGAATCGACGACGAAGAAGCCTCTTTCTTGGCCGGATTCCGCTCGTCGTCTTGGGAGAAGAGTGTCCACAAGGTGTTGCGAACCCTAACGTCGCACGACTTCCTTTGGGGCTCGAAAACGCCGGAGAAATAGCCCTCGTTGTTCTTCGTGGCCGAAAACGACTTCGTCCGCCGGAGCTCGGGGAAAAATGAAGCCGCTCTGTTGGGTCCTCCCCCTCCAGCACCGGTGGGGGGCTTGAAGATGGCTTTAAGAGCGGCGGCCGCGGTGGAGGTGGTGGGAGGTTTTCTGGAGGAGGAAGAGGAAGCGGAAGAGGAGTGATCGAGCACAGCGAGGCGCTCGCAGAGGCATGAGGGGCAGAAGCCGGTGAAGTGCTCGTCGGGGTGGCGGGCGCAGGAGGTAGAAGGTTGGTGGGGCTGCGGCGGTAATGGCGGTAGCAATGGCGGCGGCTGCGGTGGTGGTTCGATGGTGGAATTCATAACCGGCTTTGGTGGTATGCAATGATCCCCACTCTCATGCTCATGATACGGAGAGAAAGATAGAGAGAGAGAGAGAGAGAGAGAGAGAGTTTTTCTGGTTTCAGTCCAGTGAGAGTGAAAGAGATGATCAAGAAGAACGGACTCTGAGAGAGAGAGAGATACTGTGAGAGAAGGAGAGAGAGAGAGAGAGAGAGAGGGACTGTTTGGTTCCAACGGACAGTAGTGAGAAAGTGTGAGAGTGCTGAGGAAAATATTATGGCCGAATATTATGATAGAAACAACGGCAAAATAAATTAAAAAGGAAATTTTATTAAAAAAATAAGGAGGGGCAGGACAAGAAAAGAGAAAAATCTGTGAGTAGAGAATTTACTGAAGTAGTATGCCCCACTGCCTCTTTCTCTCTCTAGGAGCACTCGCTTGACAAAAAGACGAATTTGGGCCTATTGGTCTACTGAATCTTTAACCGAGGTCAAGTCCTTTAGGATCTGTTTGGCCAGTGGGTTATTTTGAATGGATGCTTTTTCACGAGGAATAAAAAATTCTATTATTTTTTGTTATAAATTACGACCATATTCATTTCACCGATTTAAATTTAAAATTTAAATTTTGTTACAGTAAAAAATTCTTAAAAATAGTCACATTTAACTTTTTTATTATAGTAAAAAACTCTCACATAAAGTCACATCTCAACTCGAATTAAAAATTTGAATCAACAAACTAAACAGGCCCTACATGTGTTGCCACGAAATATAATATTGAAATTTTAGTTATATGCTTTAGGAGCAGGAGCTTACGTGACATGAAAAAAAAAAATGTTAGACATTTTGAATATTAATATTCGGAATGCATTTCACGTTATAAATAATGATTTTCCATATTACAAAATTTCTGTTCTTCACTAAGGAATTGTTCAATAATTCTTTCTTTTTTCTTCGAAATTCTTTTAGCATTCAATGTATCTATTGTTGAACTTATAGTCAAGCTTTGTTGAATTTTTTGGGGAAAATTATATAGTTGAATTTATTGAAGTCAATGTCACCAATGTTCTTACTTTAAGGAAAAAATTATCATCTATCTAAAAAGAGTTTCTTTAGTAGGCCAATCTTACTGTTGTGTCAGTTTTTAACCGTTAAATCATTAGATTAAAAAACTATAAAGAATAAATAATTTTTTATACAAATCTAACAGTTAAAAAATAATAAAAAAATTATCAATAGTTAATTTTTTCTAATCACACCACAGAAACTCCCCATCTAAAATTTATGATCAATGTATTACATTGAAATACATAAATACAAAGCTAATAGAACATTTCTTGGTTAAACTAAAAAAGCATGGATTGCATCCAAGAAATTCCTTATGGGTTGTTTGGTTGGGAGATTCGTATCCTGATTCGAATCATGATTTATTATTTGTTACAGTATTTTTTCTCATAAAAAATATACATAAATTAAAAATAATTTTAATTTTATTATTCTAATTCATGAATTAAACATCACCTTAATTAGGAAGGTTGGGTTAGGCTAACCTGAGAAAGCAAAAGGAGTTTCAATAGCAAAAAGGAAGGAGGGATAAAGAGGTGCCCAAATTAGTTGCCTTTTTTCTGCTTTTTGAGCTGATTTTTGTTTCTTTTGTTTTTCTTTTTTTTTTATTTTCAAAGATTCCTGTCGAGAGAAGGAAAAAAAAAAAAAAAAAGCAAAAGCAAATCACGCCATCACTATTTGATTGAGAGAAGTGAGAGAGAGGAGGGGGGGAGTGCTGGACTGGCTGGCTCATCTCTCTCTTTCTTTCTCTTTCTCACATTTCGCTCTCTTTCTTCCTTTCTCTCCCTTTCTTTCTTTTTCTCTTTTTCTTTTTCCTGTTTTGGGTTCTTTTTGTTTTTCGGCCTTTCTTTTTCCCTCCCAAACAGCATTCCATCGTTTTATTGTTTTCCCACTTTGGATTTATTCTAATTATAAGCAACAAGAAAACAAAATGATGTTTCACCCATTGGGTGAACAAACCCAACAGTGCACTGCGGTCCCAATATTGAAAGGAAAACAATATATATTAAAATAAAACTTCATCACTTACAAAATAGTAGGTTTCACTTAGAAGACGTTTATTTCATGTATTCGTTTTTAATTTTAAATCATGATTCATTATTCTTTACAGTATTTTTTTTAACAAAAAATACACGTAAAACGAGAACAGTTCTAAATCATGATTCTGAATACATGAACTAAACGTCCTCTAAGTTTCATCTATTCACATTGTAAAACCTACTTTACGTAAATAGTAAAATTTTATCTCTATTAAAATAAATAGAGGTGCTCATATTGAAAACAAGCTTCACTTGTTAGTTCTTTTTTCCTCATATTTCTCATATCTTGAAATTGTTTCTGAAAAAATTCTCATATCTTGATTAAATACCAAAAAAGAAGATTTGACTTGTTACCTTAGAAGAGAAACCAACTATAATGGGAGAATTTTATATTAGTAGGTATGAAAACATTGTTAATACATTTACGGTATTGGTAAAACACGATCTTAATTTGATAAATTCATCAAAAAATTTAGTGGACGTTTGGTTCACGGATTCAGAACCATAATTCAGAACTATTCTCGATATATGTGTGTTTTTTTTAGAGAAAATACTGTAGCGAGCCACGAACCATGATTCGAATTATTGCACGAATCCTCATACCAAACACAATCTTAATTTAGAACTGTGTTACTGATACTATTACAAAATTCTCCATCATATATATATATATATATATATATATATATAGGTCAACATTGTTATGCTTGTTACAATTAATGGATGATACCTCATCTATTACTTTGTTAACGTATATATTTATACTTTTATCATCATTAAGCACCAATCTAGCATTGGTTCTTTAGTTTCCAAAAATGATTGTTTCTTTTTTTTTTTCTGCGCCCTTTTTGCCAAAAAAATCTTTTTCCCATTAATGGATTGAAAGAATGGGACTTGTGCTAGAATTGGCTTTATTTTGGCTTTGCCCTTTTACATTTGGTAAAGGGGGAGTACTTGATTTGTGCCTGCTTACAAAGGATTCGCAGAGTCACCCTCTCAAAACACAAATATGGAATCAAAATCGAATATATATTAACTCAGGTCTCGTTCATTTCACCGATTCGAGTTTTTAGTTTTAGGTTTTTATAGTAAAAAATTTTCAAAAAATGTCACATCTAACATTTTCTGCTACAGTGAAAAACTCTAAAAAAATGTCACATCTCAACTCAAATTGAAAACTCAAATCCGCAAAGTAAACGAGACCTTAATTTCAAATGGATAACTCTTCCAAATCAGTTGATTTTCTTCTTCTTCTTTTTTTTTCTTTTTTTATAAAACCAATTAATGATTTACTTTTTGTTTCCAAATCCATGATTCACACTAGTTGCCTGCTTTATGCATTTGTTTGTACAAATATTAAGCATTGTTTGAGACATTGAGAGTTGGTTTTAACATTATCTGTCGAGAATTAATATAATTCATATTAAATAGTTATCACCATCGTTTTTTTTTTTTCTTCTTGTGAAATAATGGTCACAGTTTTTAAATAATCACAACTTGTCTATATGGAGAAAAACTATAAGCACGACTAATGATTAGTGCTAATTTAGGTTATGAGTGCTTTATTAGGAATGCTATACTCAGCAAAATATCTCCTAGCGATTAACATGAGAAAAGAAACACAAAAGAGGGGAAAAAACATCAAATATAAAATACTCATTTTTTATATGTCGGCTCATCGATAGGATTAATTTTTTACTATTAAATTTAATTAAAATCACATTAAATTAAAAAATATGTATAATATACAATTTTTAATATAAATTTAACAACTAATAAAAAAATACTAATAGTTTATTTTTTTCGGTCAAGTAAAGAATTATCTTCTATATTATTTCTTCTTTTAATTTTGTTTGTGCTTAGAGTTTCCAGCCTGGGATTAAGGAGAATAATTGGGGAATGAGTGCGCACGTGTCGATGTACGGATTACATATACGCATGCATGTATTTAACACCTCATCTTCGTCATTCCTAATTAGATACGTCGTTGAAGGCTGCAAGTCTGGGCCCCATCGAACGCTCCACTGCTGTATTGTATGTATCTCACTGCAGGTGAATTGAAAGTTGTATTTCTCTTTTACCAATATATATATATATATATATATATGCTCATTTAATTTATTAATTTAAATTATTAATTTAAATTCAGATAAATAATAAAATAATAAGAAGATAAAGATGAACAGGGCCTATATCTCTCGTCAATATGAGACGCAAAAAAGTGTGGCATAGCGGATTGGTAGACATGTTCAAAAATAAGCCTAATCTCTTCAACGTGATTTTTAAATAGGCTCGACGTAACACGTTTATTAAAATGATTGAACTTAGTGTGATTTTAAAGTATGAATCGCTATTGTTCAGAGTTTTCAGCGACGACAAAAGTCGTTGCTAAATTTTATTTTACTGTTTTAAAAAGTTTTAACAATGACGAGTCATCGTTAAATACGGGGCCTACTAAGATTCAATGCCAGTGTAATCACGACAGGCATGTCGTCGCTATTCATCCATTTAAAGTCGTCGCTATATGTGGCGTTACTACATTTTCTTATTGTTGTAGTGTGACCTAACACGATTATATATACAAGAAGTTTGTAGGGTATTGGAATGAGATTTGACTCTTATGTCTTTTTATTTATATATATTTTTATGTCTATCAAATAATGTAATATCACGTCAATTGAAATATAATGTCAATTAACATATTATGTCACGTCAATTAAAATAATATTTTAATTAATATGACATGATATTATTAAAAAGATCCCAAAAAAAAAAAAAGACATATTATTAGTAGAATCTATCATTATATCATAGTTACGACAAAATAAGAATCATGCTACATAGCTACTAAGAAAATTAGACAGTATATATTTTTGAGAAAGGATTTATTAGTTCTTACCTTGTTTTATTAGATCTTTGATGCACACCATTTTCATGTAGTATAAATTCCATTTTACCCTTAAATTCATATAAATAAAAATTAAAAAAAATGATTTATTTGTGGTATTTCTTTTAGGATTATTTTGGTCATCCTCTCTTATTTAAAATATATTTTTATTTGGATCTAAAACCCATTAACTATTAACCTTCCCTTAAAAAGAAAGAAAGAAAGAAAGAAAGAAAGAAGACCCTCCATACAGGT